GAACGTGGATCTCTGCAACTGATTATTAAGTGTGCGATATAGTGAACGCAGGCCTAGACTAGTTTTTTTCAGTTGGTTGGGAAGTATGTAGAAATATGGTGGACTTTTGATTTACTGGCATTAGGAATCTAAATCTAAAACTTGGTGAATTTTTGGTTTATTTTCAATCGACTTGATCAGTAATTGTCATTAAATCTGGGTTGATCGGTTCTGCATGTTGCTTCGTGTCAATTCATCTTTACTCTTCTTTAATCCACTTTTGCCTATTCAGAAATGTCACCCCTACTTGGACAGTGAAACTATTTTGGTGATCCAGATCTTCTGTCTGCCTTTGGTCCAGGCTAGCGGCGGCCCAAGCGGAGGTTGGTTCGGAGAATCGAGCAGGTCTGTGCGGAATGGGTCTTCGGAACGGAGGAGAATGGTCAATCTCTGCCGGAAGCATATGCTCGGATGGACTTGGATGCATCTGTTTTCTCAGTGAGTCTTGGCATTATCGGCTGAATAGCGAGAAATGCTATGCTTCAAAGACTTCTTTGCGATTTCATGACACGGGACTCTTTCGTTTCGGTAGAAGAACTCGGCTTGAAAGGAATTGCAACTGGTAAGCATTGACAACCAGAAAAGGTGTATCTCGAAGTTGTGGCTGTTGAGTATCGTCCTGCGAACTCGATCTGTCTGTCTTCTTCCGCTTCGTGGAAAGCGTATTCCGAGCGGGAAAACATCGGTAAATCAAAAGCATAGCAACACAAAGCCAAGAGTGGTGACAAGTTTCCATCCAAACCCACCTACTCTAATGTCTCTTGGTGACCCTTTGCACGAATTGGTTGAGGAAGAGGCGAAACTTTTCCTACAAACCAAATTTGTGGGAGTCAAATCGCGAGTTTCCTTCTCCCCTAATTCTCCCGAGGACTGAAAATGTTGATTTTCGCTTCGGTGTTGTGTTTTCACTTTTTATTCTTCAGGCCGACTGGCAACGGAAAACACGTCGTGTCGACACATTGCCGTTATTTCTCGCCGGTTTCGCAGTCATTGGAAAGCTTCCCATTTCGCCGATTAG